AATATGGTTTAACTTAACCAAGAGTTTGGTATGATTTACTCTGTCGAAAGCTTTGGCATAATCGAAATAAATTACGTCCACATCCATTTTTCACGTCTAACGAAGCAGTCCAATCATTAAGGGCCTCCAGCATATGCGATATTGTTGACCTTGCCCTTCTAAACCCGTGTTGGCAATCCGGTAGTATCCTGTATCTATCCAAATGGTCGACGATAACCCTCTTCAGCACTTTTTCGAAAACTCTACAAAATACTGAAGTAATACTGATTGGCCTATAGTTGCCCGGATTGTCACGTGGGGGCTTCTTGGGAATGGGGCTAACAAAAGACATTTTCCATCTTTGGGGAACTTCAGCCCTGAACAAGCACAAGTTGAAGATGTATTTCAATGGACCAACGATTGAAGGAAGTACTTCCTTAATGAATCTGAACGGTATCCCATCCGGCGTGAGAGAAGTATTAAATTTCCAGTCAGATAAAACGTCAAAAATCTCCTGTTCATTGAACCAATGAGAGTCTTGCATTCGAGGGAAACAGCCAACTAAGTTAATGCTGGTGTTTGCCTGATGATTATTAGAGACGTAGATGCTTTCAAAAAAATCAGCGAAACATTCCGCCTTATCAGAATCAGAGACCAATCTAGCCCCGTCCGGTTTCACCAGAGCAGGAAGATTTTCTTTAGGCTTGAATCGAGATGAAATATACTTCAGCAGTGCGGATTTATTATTGCTTTCTATGATTTTTTTCTCAACTAAACTGTAGTATTTATACATTTTGCCTTCAAACCGTCTCGCTACAGATTTATAGAAATCCCAATCACTAGGACTGTTAGATAGTACCGCATTCTTGTACGCTCTGACCTTCTTCTCGAACAAGGAATGAAGAAATGACGGGATTTGCACCTTGCGTAACCTGATCTTCCTGGCCGGAACGAAACGATCAATACATTGTTGGAGGATGAAAAGGAACGTTTCGTACATATCGTTCACATTCAGACCCCAAAAAGAGCCATACCAATCAACCGAGTCCAAAAATGACACGATTTTACTAAAGTCGGCATTCTTGAAATCGCGCTTAATGATAACGTGGTTCTCAGGTCTAAGAGGTGCCAAGCAGAACTCAATGGTAGCGTGGTCGCTTGTACCCAGTGGGGGACCAACCCTTATCCCAGAAACAAAGGATTTCACATTGCAAAGTAGTAGGTCCAGTATCTTACCATCTCTGGTTCCCTTGTGAACGAACTGATGAAAACCATAATTTTTTATCATGTCTAGGAACTTTTGACAAACACCTCCACATTGATAATCGGTATTTGACCAATTGATATCCGGGAAGTTGAAGTCTCCAGCTAAGAGACAAACACTTGTGTCTACACAGAGGTCGCTAACGCATTTGATAAGCTTTTCAGACTTGTCACTCGGGCAGCTGGGAGCTCTATAGCAAAGAACCATTCTCCAATTATCACCGCCTATACAGGAGTCAAGCGCGACTATTTCGTACCCGCCAGGTATCGATTCACTGAAGACCAGAACAGGGAAAAAAGCATGTTTGATTAAGACCGCTACACCACCACCCTTCTTCCGTTGTCGGTCACATCTAAATACTTCATAGCTTGAGGCCAAGTCACCAATAAGAGAATGAATTTGAGTTTTGCTTTTTAACCATGTTTCGGAAAGTGCTATGATCCCATAGTCAAATTTAGAAAGTAGAAATCTGAGAGAATGAGTATTCTTTACTAGTGAACGTATATTTGTCAGCAGACATTTGGTACCACGCTGAGGACTGGAATGAGTAAATGGGGAAGACCGATATCTGTACTTGGACGGCTGGTCCGGAAGCCGCGGACTGTCCGCTAGTTTCCCACATTCTCTGAGACATCCCTAGGTGAACAATGAACAGCACAGTTATCCGAGGTAGGTGGCGGTGGAACACTAACAGCAGCGGAATCATGATGAATATCAACATTTCGAGAGCGAGCAAATCGGCTCTCCCGTCTCCTCACCCTTTCTTCCAGAGTCAGTGATTCCCTGAGGAACACGCCTCTTTCCGGAAAGGTGCGGAGGCGGGGAGCCCTCCTTACAGCAATACGTTGATACAAAGAACACGGAAGAACGACCTTGATCAATCGATTCTTACCACGAAACCATCTCCCAAGTCTATATACCGCAACAGGATAACAATCGACATCCAGATGTGATAAAATATTTAGAGTACTTTGGTAGTCATAATGCATCCTATCAAAACAACTGCCATCATGGAGCTCTGGAACACCACTTATAACAATCGATCGCCGTCTCTCTATCTCCTCGTAAGGCAAGGCTTTAGCGGGAGTAGGATCAGCACTAAGAGGGTGGGAAACTTCTTTCTGTTCAAAGAACCGTAGGCGATCTTTGAGTTGCTTATTTTCTTTTTCTAAATCATTAAAAGCTTCTAGGCGCTTGCGTAAAGCAACATTTTCTTCAATAATGGCACTTAGCTGCGTTGAAATCGAAAGTAGCCACTTCTTGACACACTCAGGCACAGCTTTCGAGTCGTTGACCTGCTTGACGATATCCACGAAATCCGGCGACAACATAGGACCATCCGGTGTTACCACTCTCGGCCGTTTTCCGCTCTTAATTAGATGTGAAACAGGGGTGTCCATTGCTAAACGGGGTCGCGAGATCAACCACAACCAATAATGACCGTTTAATTGATCGTTTCGCGACGAGCAATCGACAGACTCAAAAATTTCACCTGACTTAGTCGCAAATAAGGCACCGAACTTTCAGCCCCCTTGCGACAAGGAGCTACGCAGAACCGATGAATCAGTTGAAGGAAGCAGAATATAAAAATGGAATCAGCGATAGCGAATATCAGTAGTAGAATTGAGAACTCAGGTGGCTGGTCGGTCGCTCAAAAAACACAGCCGCATGCGGGCATTGCACACGCATGACTTCATGGTATGCGCAGTCAACTTGATCCCGCGGTAGTTGGAGCAGTCCATTGCGTCGCCCTTCTGTTTGAAGATGGGGACGATGGTACTTGTCCTCCATGCATCCGGCATCTTTCCTTCCACTGTTACCTTGTTCAGGAAGCTGGTGAGCCACCTTATGCCGTACTCTCCGAGCGCCTTCCATGCCTCGATTGGCACCCCATCTGGGCCAACCGCCTTTCCAACCTTCATCCTCCCAAGTGCACACCTAACCTCATCCTTAGTCCAGAGTGCGATGGGACCAGCTGTGGCCTCTGCCCGTGAGTCGTTCTTGTGGGGGAACTCCTCGTTCAGAAGCCCCGTGAAGTACTCTTCCCACCTCCTCTTGACTTCGGCTGGCTTTCTTAGGATGACACCATCGCTGCCTTTTACACTTTTCACCACCCTGATGTCTTGAGTAGCACGATGGCGGGCCTTAGCCAGCCTGAGAACTTCTCTCCCCAGAGTCAACCCTGCGTTGCGCAGTTCGCAACGGCACGTTGAGAGATCCTCAACGCACGCTGTATGGGCGGAGACGCAGACGGCTCGAGCATGCGAGTGTGAATGTTCGCGCGAGAGAACGTGTCTAATCGGGCGAAACTGCGCAACGTGGCCGTTGAAAACTGCGCAACGCAGGGTTGACTCTGCTTCTCTGCGTTTCTGCTTTCCAACTTCTCGTACAAGGCGTCCATCTCCGTGTTCTTCGCCTTGGCGACAGCAGCCTTAGCGAGCCTCTTGCAACTCCTGTAGGTAGCGAGGTCTTCGGGGCTCCGGGTCTTCTGCCAGCGCTTGTATGCTTCCTTCTTCTGCTTCACGACTCGCTGGACCTCCTCGTTCCAGAACCACGCTGCCTTGTCTCCTCTGAATCCACCTCGCGTCTCGCCCAGGACCTCCTTGGCACATCGCAGGATGGTATCAGCCGCGCTGCCCCAAGTCCGCTGTATTGGCCCGTTAGGATCTGGGAGACCGACTTCCATTATCTTTCGCCTGAGGTCATCCTTCTCCGCTTGGTGCAGCTTTCCACCGATTCTTACCCTTGTCTTCTTGGGGAGGTCTATCGCAATGTCTGCCAGGAGGGGCCTGTGCTGGGGAGCCAGATCTTCGCCGGGTAGAACTTTGATATCCTTCACAGTTTTGAGGGTTGATCTTCTTACCAGCACATGGTCGATTTCCGTCTGTCTCCCTCCACTGCTGTAGGTTACCTTCTGAGTCTCCCTTTTCGCGAAGAACGTGCTGCAGATTGCCAGATCGTGGGCTGTAGCCAGGTCCAGGACCCTCTCTCCCTCAGCGTTCCTCGTTCCTATCCCTCTACCTCCGTGCACTCTTTCTAAGCCTGTGTTATTCCGTGCTCTGATCACAAATATGGCATCCACTCCTGATACCAGTTTCATTTGACGCCATTTTGGGCATAATATTTGAGCAGAATATGCATGAGTAAGCGTCTGCACCAAAAATGGATGCCATATTCATAATGAGCGCATCAATGAAACATCAAGGAGCTGAATGTTGCACTAGTTGAAATAAGACGATTTTGCAGCCCCACGATTCCAATTCCACCGTAACCAGCGCATTTGTGACGCGTAGTCAGGGCGCACTCATAGTCGGTCGTCCGGTCGTAAGGACCGTAACGATCGCACAGCGTTAGATACCCTCCCTTTCAAAATACGAGAACAGCGTCGGGTGCAGACCATACACCACAGATGCGGGGCGCGGAACCGCTCCACAAGTAAAATCTGGGTTTGGCTAGGCCGTCCATAGTGATAATTGTGGTGACATGCGTCGCTGCATCAGACGCTCTTCTTCGTTTTTTTGGTAAATCCTGTTAACGTTCACGCTTTCAACACGTTTTCACGTGTTGACTCCCCAGCGTTAACAGTTGTGACAATTTACGGCGGGAATTCAAATTTCTCGAAGTCGCGCGATTATTTGGATTAATATCGAAACCAGCGCTTGTTTTCCGTTCTTCTTGTTATTCTCGTGTCGTGAAGCAAGGGGGCCATAATATTCAATAGTGAGGAGGCAAAATTTCTCCGTAAACGATTCCTTTGAACTAGAGCGAGGTCTTTCAAAAACAAACTGGCTATGGGCTAATTCCATTAAAATGTGAAAGTATGTGGGTCAAATGGTGCAATTTTATGGTGCTTCACAGACCAACCTCGCTGGCACTCATCTATAGCATTTGACCTCCCTTCCTTCGCCACCCTTTATTTACTTTCCCGGCCTCTGACCCTCTTGCACCCAAAATGTTATGAGAAATTGTTTCATTATTAGAAGCGGATTATGAGGATTTTAAAGAAATACCGCCCACCCAAGGACACGCCCCGCCCAATTCAGGTATGCTGGAGAAAGGGTGTGGTTCACTAGGACAGAAAGCGACTTTTTCGCGTTTCGCAGCGCGAAAATTTTTCGCTGCAGGAACCTCTGGTCACCACTGATCATGGGATCATTTTCGATGGACCTGGTTCCTGCAGCGCAAAATGTTTCGCGCGCCGAGACGCGAAAAGTAGCTTCTCGCCTAAAGTGAACGACACCCCTGGAGAAACGTTGGGTATTGCTTCCCTTAACCGATTTTTTCTTGCCCTATAAGCTTTCTCTCAATCGAGTTATGAGCTATTTTTATTGAGCATCATCCGTTTAGAGAATACCCCGCCCACCGCGGCGGGTCTCCCTAGTTCGGCTGAGCTAATCAATGCACACCTATACCCATTTTTTGCGGTCTTGAGCTGCTCTAAAACCGAACTTGAAACTCTGTCGTGTCCAATTCGGGCGGAGCTCCGCTCAGCTGACATGTGCTTTGAAGTTCTTGACCATGCTCCACCCATCTCAAATTTTACACCCCGACTCTGTAACTGGTTGCTCGGGTAGTACTGAATTTCGTGACTGACGGACGACACACACAGGCAGACATGGCGCATTACACATAGTAGGGATGTCATCATTATAAAGGGTTGTTGTATTGCGCGCAAGAATCATCCGTACGCGAAAGTGAAAGCTGAAATTGATATCGTAGCTTGGCCTGGCTGGAGTTAAAAGGCAAAGTCGCTTAAGTAAGGTAGTATTATGTGCCATTGAAACTGAGTACGGAGATCAAGTAGAACGACAGTGGAGAAAAAACTGAGAAAAACCGTCGACAAGGCCGCTAACAAAACCTCTTTCCCACTTGCAATGAAGGAGGCTGGTCTTGGGGAAGAGGCACGTACAAACAAGTTTTCTGAAGATATCAGTCGTTCTATCGGTTGATACGGCAATCAACCTAGCTGATTTCACACGTTATGCCAGCCATGCACCACATCCCAAGGTGGGCGGTCGTAGCGGGCCAGGCGGCGATAGCGCATAGTACATGCCCTGGGCCTTATTACTGCGCCGTTTCGGATTTTGAGTGTGGGAACATCTCTACGGGTGCGTAACCAAGTACAGGCATGACCGAAAGGGTTGGTTTGGTCAACTAATGCCTTTAAGGCAGAGATAAGAGTTTGGTGAAGTAACTAGACAAAAGGAGTGTGCCTAGTCATTTCGCTCTTCTCCTCGCAGGACTCTTCCTTCAGCTTGGGAAAGCGCAGATGTGTAGGAACAAGTAATCGCTGACTCACTTAGCTACGTGCTCGAAGTATCAACCCCAGAAATAGAGTCTGAAATCGGAACCTCGGTTCACAGAAACTCCACCACCGGGAACAGGCTGGAATGACGCCGCACTGCTTGCTTTCGGTTTAGGAATCATGTGGTCCATCTCGGGACGAGATCCCTTGAAACGTTGGTGACAGTAATAGAAACGTTGGTGATAGTAATAGAAAAAAGGTAAACAAGGCAAATCAAATTATGCCTCCAATTTTGAGCTAAACACTCAGTGTTCCACCCATGCCTATTCTAGCACGCCGTTAGGCTGGTGTATTATTGTGATAGAACCATACGTTATATCCCATAACTCTGAGCTGATCAAGGTGCAGGGCAGAACGGGTGAGGAACCGAAATCTGAACACCATTAGTCGATATAAATAAAAACTGCAACATTCGTACATGAACAACATATTCCGTAAGTACAAACCTGTCTATCAACATCAATGTTGTCCCCTCATCCTTCCTACTTGCAACAGCTAGTAACTGTTGCCCAAACCCACCCTGAAAAAATGCAGGACGAGTTTTTGGCAGCTTGCCTTCTTTCTGAGACGTCGTTCGTTGCGGGTCCATGCTTCATTCTCAGCCTTCAACAGCGTTCGAGGTACGCAGCTACATCCCACTTGCACCACATGTCCTTGAATAGGCCGCTGTACATGTTGTTGCAAGGTACTCAAGGAACGTGTGGCACTTCCAATAGGCACTGTGCTGCTGCGGTACAGGGGGCGGAGCAGCGCTGGGACCTCCAGTATGAAAGTGGTGGGAAGTATCACTTTGATGGTTCTCCACCACTTCTTTATTCGTGAAGATTTTCGAGGTCCGCGTATGTACTGGCGTAGTCCGAGCGCGTTCCGCTTTCTGTTCCATGACAGCGCTAGATGGAAGGCACAGCCTCCTGGACGCGCTCGGGAAGATCTTCTTTGTCGCCGTAATGGCGGCTACCTCGTAGTCCAGCAGCACGGGTTGCGGCCCGGCCACTGCTACTATCGCATCTTTCAGCGTCTTGAATATGCGCTCATATACCGCTTGAGTTTTTCTAAAATAAGTTAAGGTTATATTGAAAATATGCTGCTGGGATC